CGTGTTGATCTAGCGCATCTACCACGCGGCCCATTTAGGGGACAAAGCAGAGATTATATGAAGACTAAGTTCCAAAGTAACTCTTTAGCTTACTTGGTTGGACGTGGGAATCAACATCCCACGTAGTACAGGACATATCTGTTCCAGCGTCCTACTCCTAAATACAACCCACGTTCACCTGTAATACGGGAAGTGCCTATTTCCATATCTTATCGGCTGCACTTTGTCGGCTGCCTCCACTTTCAAATCACGTCAATCAGTTATAACTCAACGTAATAAAAATACTAGAGCCTGCCCCTGAAACATGTTGTATTGATGATACTTACCCCACGGTGATCGTAAAGTTTGGGGTTGATATAGGGCAACTGTCCGCTGACAATATCCATCGCGAGGCACTTTCTGGCCATGAAGGGACGCATAATGCGAAACAGCAGCTCAAAGTCGGAATCAGAGTCCATAAGCGTAACCTTTGGCGTTCTGTCCGCACCTGGAATCTTCAGCTGCCGTTCGCGAGGCAATGTGCTTCTGGAGGGTTTCTGCTGGTGGTGGCCAGCACGCTTCTGCGCTCACAACAGGAGGCTCGGTAACTGAAGTACACTGGAGGTGGCGGATAGGCCGGCTGATCTTCTGATTGGCTGGCTTTTGTTACCTCTCTCTTTGCTTCCTCAGTGGCTGCTTTGATGAAACGAAAATGGGCTTCCTTGCAGCTAGTCAGCTGACCGAAACTGAACATGCCTCGAAGAGAGCGGTTTGACGAGCGGCTTTAGAGGAGGAAATAATGCGCGTGAAGATTAGCAGCCAACAGAGGAGCCCAATGGACTTGAGGTCAAGGTGACCACAGACGCGAATGAAAGTGCCAGAGAGGGTGAGAAAGAGGACATAAAGTGCACGCACGCGCTCATCACCAAGGCAACTCTAATTGAAGTCATTGAACAGGCTCCCATTTGTGCAATATTGTAACACACCATGAAACCGAATGACTTGTTTAATTGGAGTGGAGTAGGTTATTTTGGCGCGGTCCTAGGATTGGGTCGATGAAGATACTGGCCCTTGCTCCCACAACTACCGTTTCCTTCTCTCCATCTCATGCAATGTCAGCTTCTCCAGGTCCCACCCCTGCAGTTGCCCACAGCGTTGTACCCCCCACCGGTGATCCAGTGGACACGACGGAATGGTCCCTTCTCCAGATGGGACTATTGTATAGGT